GACACTCTGCTGGGCAAAGAGAGGCACTCTCTCCACTGGGAGAGTTCAGTTCAGACTTCAGGCAGGTCTTCTGATGCCTAATTCTTCCTACTGCCTGATAATCTTAAATCACTTCAAATTCACAGTCTAAAGAAGCAGCTTTGTCCCCTTTTACCCATCCCACTTCTATCACTGATGATATCATTTTTCTTGCACACTCCTTGGTAAAAGACTGCTAACCAATGGCTGTCTTTGACTCTTCAGTCTTTCTATGCTCTAGATCTAATCTGTCTGGTGTCTTCTTTCTCTCTTTTAGATGTCGCTTTGCCCATCTTTGTTTCTTTCTACTCCAACACTTTCCCTTATCCCTTTCCATATAAAGCATCCTAGCTACCTCTAAGTATTAAATTTATAGACTATTTCTTGAAGGAGATCCAATAAACTGATATTAGTTACTCGGGATGCGAGGGACTGGGAGTTTGAGGATTCAGGGTACGCTTCTAATTGTATATGGCTTTGAAGGCTATGAATTTTTATCAGCTATAGGATTTATTGTGCAACAAAAATGTTTTAAGATATTGTTTATATCCAGATTTCTTCAGTAGGCTTAACTTTTTTTTTTTTTGAGGAGAGACTAAATTTTTCAAAGTGGCTAAACTATAGCTAAAAAGTCACTGTCAAATAAAGATGATGATTGCTCCATTAAGGATCCAGCAGTGAACAAGATGGGCATAATCCCTGCCCTCAGGAGGCTCATATTCAGGAGCAAGCGGCAGACAGGCAACAGACAAAAGATATAAGTCAAATATATACAGCTGACCCTTCATACGAGTTTGAACAGCATGGGTCCACTTATACACAGGTTTCTTCCAATAATATTACGAATGCATGGATCATATTTTTAAATAAATGTGAAATTCTTTTTCATTTTATCTTTTCATTGTGATGTCTAGTATTAGTAATAGGTATAACATCTACAGTGTTTGTATACATAAAACACTGATGTAGGAACTGACAGACAATTCATCTCTTATACAGATGCTATAAACTTATAGTATCAATACAGTATAATACTACAAATATATTTTCTCTTCTCTAAGATTTATTTTATAACATTTTCTTTTCTCTAGCTTACTTTACATAAACATACAGTAAATATATATAACATACAAAATATGTGCTAATCGATTGTGTATGCTATCAGCAAGACTTTCAGACAACAGCAGGCTATTAGTAAGGTTTTGGGGAAGACAAATTATATACAAATCTTTTGGTACACAGAGAGTCAGCACCCCTAACCCCACAATGTTCAAGGGTCAGCAACAGCACAGTGATGACAAGTTTGGTTTTTTCATCTATTCCAAGTTGCTCTTTGTTGCCTGCTGAAACTAAAGTTGAAAGAAAAATCTCTGCACATCCTGTCAGCCATAGGCCATAGGGTGACAAACCACTTCTGAGAGTGCTCATTGTTCTGCCCCAGACTTTGCATTTTGTTAGACAAGGCATTCATCTCCACAGCCCACAAACTACCGTGTACAGGAAATACAATTGTATTGGTGTCTAACAGGTTTTTGTTCAAGACCCCATGCCACTAAGATGGCCTAAACATCCTCGTTCCCCCAAACGGCATCTAATTTCAGCTGGGGGCAGAGGGGTAGGAGGTGTGTATTACCAAGGCCCTGAAGGCAGGTGAAGGGACATGCCTGGTACTCCATGCCTGGCGTCTGTCTACACTGTAGCCAGCAGAGGCCATAACCCTAATGTCCTTGGTTATGTGAGGGCTCTTGTCAGTGACTCTCTCCACCACATGGGGGCCTCCAGGGCCCACAAGCCTCCAAATGGCTCTCAGGAGTCCTTGCTATCTGCTATCCAAACGCCACTGTCATTTCGCCTCTCTGGGTTCTGGCTGCCTCCCTGCAGTCCCTCCCTGCAAGGAAGACATCATTTACCTCTCTGCCTAGATCCTACAAACCTTCCCAGACTCAGTGCAGTCACGCTGGACAGGATAAAGCTCTTTTTCCTCATTCCTTCTTCAGAGACGCCCCCTCTTCTCCTCAGTTGGGAAAGAGGATCGATTACTCTAATTTAGGCTTTCTCCCAAATGCTTTACACATTCTAATAATTCACTCCTCTCCTGAAAGGGCCCAGGCTGTGGAATGAGAAGAATACATTTCTTCCATTCCTCACTTAGCCACTGCAGACATAACTGCCCCCCACCCCTCCCTGTGCCCCAGCAGTGAGCCTGTAACCATTTAACTTTTTGAAATGGCAGGGAGGAATAAAGGACCTTAAATAAATATATGGTAAAGGAAGGAAAGAGGGATGAAACAGCTAATATTTTAAAAATATCACCCCAGACAGTAAATTACAGCAGAACTGCAGCACAACAGTAAGAATAAAGAAAGGAAAAGGAAAAGAAGGCTGACACCATTGGAGTATATCCATTCATCACTTTGTGGCAAGCTCTTTTGGGGGTTGAATGAAGTTTGAAATAATCGGGTTGATTTTCCATTTAGGAGCCTGTTCTTTCCTAATTAACAGACTGCTCAAGGCAAGTTGTAGATACAGTTCTAGGTAAGAAGCAAACTGCTGTCAGGAATGGTATTTCAGATGTGCATAGTTTCCCTTTAAAAGGTGGGGGTGATATGGGGGGGAGTGATATTTGGAGAGTGAAATGACAACTGTGTCAAGGAAAAAGCTGCCCGGAGGCAAATTAAATAAAAGGGAGTCAGACACGGGTAGATCTGCTTCAAGGGAGCAGAATGAAGGAATAAATTAAACCAAAATGGTAAAATCTGCCCAAAGGAATACAGAAAAACAACTCAACACTATAAGAAAGTGAAGCCTGGAAATGAAGCTTTGTGCAGAAAGAGAAGCGAAAAGACCACAAGACGGGAGGAGCAGTAGTAGAAAAGGGGCACAAGTCATCACCAAGAAAAGAAGTACATATTCATATATGATACTCTCAACACGGATATTCCTTACGATAAGTTTTTGGTTAAAAAATAACAGTGTATTTGGTAAAAGTCATTTGGCAAATGGGTATTTCAAGAATCAACTCAATGCCCTTAGTCAAAGCCCAGGTTTATCCTCTAAACCCCAAACCCTATCACATCACGTCCCACTTTCACCTGAAACACATGGAAGAGGTGAATTAAAATAGCCAAATAGAAAATAAAACGGGGGCTTCCTTGCCATTCCCTGGCCTGGTTTCACGGGTTGGGAGTCCCACTTTATTTCTGTTCCTTTTCTCCTCAGTAAACTTTTTCTTTCTCTCTAAAAAAAGAAAAGAAAAAAAGAGAAAGGAAAAAAACAGGACCATCAAAAAGCAAGCTAAGAAAGACTCATTACCTCACACAAACATCCTGTAAATAAGACATTCTGTAGACAAAACCAGAAGCAGGAATGAAACAGTTGTAGAAGCATCTACATGGGGCTAACAGATCAAGAGATGTTTGAGCAAAAAGGAGAGTTTTCCCCAAATCACTGTAAATATGTAAGTACAAATGCAAGTAAGGACTGAAGACCTTCTAAAACGACTTCACTAACCGACAGAAGTTATGTTTTGTTTGAAAGGTGGTACCTTTATACAGTGCAGCGTTAGTCAGCTGTGAAAAGGGGAAAAGTAATGATACCTGCTACTACACAGATGAACTCTGAGGACATTTTGCTAAGTGAAATAAGGCAGACACAAAAGGACAAATACTGCAACCAGATCCCCACGGTGCCAGAGGCCATGGTGTATGCCAACTTCGCAGCTCTCCACCTCTGGGTGCAGGCCCTGCCCTGGTGCCAGGCAGGTTTGAGCACCAGAGCCCCCAGGCTCTAGGGACATCCACTCAGGCTGCATCAACACATCATTACCACCTGGTCCCCTTGACCGTTGTCACCCGCCCCCCAAGGCCTCCCCTCTGGTCATCACCGCTCAGTTTTCTGAATCTGAAGAGTGTGGTTTGGTTTTGCCTTTTCTGCTTTGTTTCTTTCTCTTCCACAGAGCGACACCAACAGCAAGAGAAACAAAAGCAAATAAATAAACAAATAAACAACATCAAACGAAATGTCTCTGCACAGCCAAAGAAACCATGCGCCAAAGGGAAAAAAACCCCAAAGCAATGGGAGAAGATCTTCAAAACTCACACAGCCAGTGAGGGGTTCATAGCCTAAATATATAAAGAGCGCACACGCCTCAACAACAACAACAAAAAACCCAACTTTTTTTAAAATGGGCAGGCGCCCCCACAGACGTGTCTCCCAGGAAGGCCACGCGGGCCCCGGCAGGGCCGCCCGTCGTCCGCGCCACCAGGGCGGCACCCGGCCCGGCTCCACCAGAACCCCCAGGCGCGCGTGTGGAGAAAGGGGGAGCCCCCACCCAGGGGGTCGGATGGAAACGCGCGCGCCCCTGCGGAAAGCCGTACGGAACGCCTCAAAATATTAAGAATAGAAATACCACAGGCGGGGCTGCTCCCTCAGGAGGCGGTGCGGCGTCCTCGCGGCTCGGGCGGCCTCGGCACGCGGGCGGCCCCCGACGGCGCAGGCGCAGAGCGCTCGAGGGGCCGGGACCCGCGCCCCGCGCCCCGCGCCCTGGCGCCCTGGTGCCCCTGAGCCCTGGCGCCCCTGCGCCCCCGCGCCCGCGCGCCCGGCCGCCGGCTATTTATAGCGCTCGGCGGCGCCGGCCCCAGCGGGCAGCGCGGGTGCTCGGCTCCCCCCCCCCCCGCTCCCCACCCCGCGCCCTCCCCACCCCGCGCGCCCGGCCCGCGCCCTCCCGACAGCCGCCCAGCGGGTCGCGCCGCCATCGCGGGCCCTGCCGAGCGCGCGAGCCGGGCCTCAGGCCGCAGCTGCTCCGTGAGTAACAGGAACGCGGGCGGCCGGGAAGCCTGGGCCTGCGGGGGGCCGGCCCGGAGCAGGGCGGCGGGGCAGGGTTCCCTGGCGACTGGCGGGCCCCGGGGGAAGCGGGGGCGCCTCAGCTCCGGGAGCCACCGCCTCCCGGGCGGGGGTCCCCGCGTGAGCGTTCTCAGAAGGGCTGCTTGGGCGTCGCCCTGTCTCTGGGTGTCAGCTCCATTTTGGCGGGGCCTCTGGGTCTTCCTGCTGCTGGGCCCCTGCCTGGAGCCCAGAAGAGCGGCTGGCACTTTAGAAACGCTTCAGTCGACACCCAGTGTCTCCCCGGGCAACTCTCTTCACCTTAAAGTGAGGACTGTAATTGCCCCGCATGTCCCCCCAACGTGATCCTTAAGAGGAACTAATGAGCTATAATGCATATTAAAGCACTTTGGAAAGTTTAAGCATGGTGAGAATGCAAAACATTGTGACCTCCTCAAAGGAAAGAAAAAAGGAGCGGTGTCTTATTTCGCTGCATCATCCATTTGACCCTTATTAAACGCCACGGGATGGATTATTACTTTTAAGTGAAGCTGTTTTTCCCTTCTAGTGGGAGACTTCGAGTGCATTGACAGTGGGCTGAGCTTCTTAGTCATTTCCTGCCAGTGTCTCTGCAAGCAGGTGATGTTAAAAGTAAACAGGGTTTGGGGACTGTAGAGTCAGGAAGGACCACAGGGCAGGTGGTCAGAGTCCTTAGTGGTTTTGCAGGTTTTTATTGGGGTTCAGTGGGTACGTGGCAGGCAGGGGTGCTGGGGGGCTGGGAGGCTGGCAGTCCTCCCAACCCCCAGCAAATCTTCACTCTATCTGGGTTCTCTGGCGTTCTCTGCTTGTGCTTTGGGCTTCTTCTCTTTCGGCTTCTACTGGCATCCCCGTGACACTGCCCTTAAAAAAAAAGCACAGTCTTAGCACAGGTGTACCCACTTCAGGTGCCCGCCATCAGACATGCATTCAGGATCACAGGGTTCCCTCAAGCTGGGGAATCCCAGGGTAGATGTGCCATCTGAGTGGTAGCAGCTGCACATGTGGTAACCACGGACCACTGTGGCTTTATCTTTTTTTTTTCAATAGATGCTGGAATATTTCAACTTTGCATACTGGCCACTAAATTACCCCTCCCTCTTCCCTCTCCCCTCCCCCCAACACAAAGTCTGAGAGCCAAATTGTGAACTCTGACTTCAGGTGTTCTCTAAGAACGGCGACCAATTGAGAGTACATGGTGGATGGGAATTAATTTGAAGGGTAGGAGCGAGAAGCAGGTGTCACAGTTCACTCTGCTGGGGACAAAGAAATCAAATTAATGACTCTGGGTGATTGATATGGACCAAAGGATAGTAACTTGAAGCATCAAGCACAATTTCTATAGGTAGGAAAAATTCTTCAAGGTAGTGGTTTTATGTATAAAACCTAAAAGGGGGAAATAGGTTGTCATGAACTTGTAATTTAGGACTAAGTAAAGCATTCCCTTAATTGCACAAACCATATTGAGCAACTCTCTTGTGCCAGGTGTCATCACAGATACACGGATGTGTAAATACAGGAGTGGTTGAGTCCTGACTCCCTTACCCTCAGTGTGCTCATCAGTGAAAGGGGAGGGATGCATGTGCACAAATAAATTGCAGAGACAACAGTGCACAACCCTGTGTTCAAGGTACAAGCAAGAAAGGGCAGGAAGACTCAGGAAGGAAGTGACGTCTGAGCTGAACTTTGAAGAACCAATTACATTTTAAGTGGAAAGAGGAAAAGGATATCCCAGACCTTGAGAACAACATGTGTAAAGGCATTAGGATTGCTCGTAACTCAGTACCATTAAAAGATTGAAAAATATAAGGAAGGAAAGTCAAGAGATGAGGCAGGAAGATTGGCAGGTGGCAGTTGTGAAAGGCCTGGTAATGCCTGGATGAGAATAGGCCGAGGATGATTTGTTTTTATTGTGGGGCAATGATCTTATACGTGTTTGTCACCAACTTACATAAGGGTTTTGTTTTAACGTTGGAACTGGAACATTATTTTCTGATGTCACAAGCTGACCCTCTCTGGCTTGCTAGCCTGTCCATTGAAGAGTTTTAGACAGACTGGATTTCAAGATACCAGCCAAATCACTTCTCAGGCCTTCAGTTTTTTCTTTAATGAAATTTAAGTCATTGATGTCAATCAACTCTTTCATTTCATGTTTTAAACTACTTACCCTTCTGAGCATTTCTATAGGGAAAAAATAACCACTTAATCAGGACTCTAGTAACTTCTTTTCCCATCAAAGCAGAAGCAAGAATTGTTTCTGCCCTTCCTCCTCTTACAGACTAATGCCAAGGAAATTGAGAAGGAGATAGGGCTACAAGCCACAGGTTCTCCAATCATTCAGTCTAGGTAAGTAGGTTGTAAGCTATTGTATTTTCCAATTACTGCCTACGCTTTGACAGGTTAAAAGGAAAATCCATAATGTATCTGTGTCTTCTCTCCTCTTTCTCTCTCCCTCCCCCATATACAGTTGTATAATTGGTAAGACAGTTTCTCATTTTAAACATACTTTATGCAATGCTTAAGAGGAGCGAAACGGTGTAAAGATCATAAAGTATAAATTAGGTATCCTCCAGATAGCTGGTGAAGTTAAACATTAATTATGCAGGTATAACTCCATGTCACCTCCCACCTCCTGTAGACACTGTCCTAAACTTGAGGATTGCCCTGCATTTCTTTATAGCCCATTATCATTGTGTGTATTCTTTTTTTTTTTTTTTTTTTTTTTTTTTTTTTTTTTTTTTTTATTTATTTATTTGTTTGTTTGTTTTTTGTGTGTTTATACATGCACTGGGTACAGTCAGAAGCGCGGGAAGGCGAGAGAATTCACCAGAGTCAGAGCGGGGAGCAGAGCAGGCAGAAGGACCGAAGTACACTGCTGAGGGGAGCAGCGGGCGGCAGGAGAGGTCTGCGCGCCATGTGGGACCCTCCTCCGGTGGCTGGGGAGCAGCCGGGGATCGAACCCGCGCCGCCGAGGCCGCGGGCAGCTTCGCAACCCAGCGCTCAACCGCTGCGCCACCGGGGAGGCCCCATTGTGTGTATTCTTAAGGAATATATAATTTTAACTTTATACAATTTCTAGCTTACAGAAATTCCAAGTATAGTATTTAAAAAAAAAAAAAAAAACCTCTCATGTACCAGATTGCCAGTTGTTTTTTTTTTTTTACCATGTCATAATATATCATAATATATTTGGATATATACTCTTGTTTTGCATATTTAAAACATATTATCAGTGGTATGAATCTTATTTTCTACTGTCTTTCACACATTGTTTGAAATTCATCCATGATACATGTAATTCTAGTTCATTCATGTTTTTATGTTTATACACTATCCTCTTGAGTTCTGTTCTCCTGTTAATGGATATTTGGGTTATTTCCAAATTCTATTTCAAACAATCCTGCTATGAATTTAAACTTCAAAACATGGGAAATTTTCATAGACATGAAGACACAATCAGGTATCGATCTGTATTTAGAAAAAGAAACAACTTTAAATATAATGGAAAGATTATAAAATTAAACAATGCAAAAGCAAAACATTGGCAGCGTAAGTAAATTAACATTTTCATGCCATATTAAAATTTGCAGCAGTCCATTTCTCAAAACTGAATGTAATAGACATGGGTATAACTGCATGTTGGATTTGCAAAATAATTAGGCTCTCTTCTTGTGCTTTTTATTTATCTTTGCTACTCTTTTCTCTCTTATTATGGGCACTATTAATATGAATGTACCAAATCAGTCTTCCAAAAATGGGAGCAGAGAATAACTTCCCATTGATATCATTGAGAACATTTGTACAATTCTGTCTTGCTGATGAGAGGAGAATGCCCTCTGTCCTCATTACAAGAAGGAAGTTGCTGTCAGCTCTCTTTTATAGATGAGCTGTGTCTGCACCCACAGGCAGTTCACACATGTACCCACACATTGTATATGCATGGCCTATGTAATTCTCCCAACTTTTACATAATTCTCAAAATCAATCCCAAATAAGAAAACAGAAATTGGCTAAGAAACTTGCTCGTGTTCCTAGATAGTGAGGCATTGATTCAAACCCAGGCCTCTATTTCTAAGCCCATGTTTCTACCCTCTGAACTACATTAGCTATACCAGTGTAAACTAATAATAATTTCCATTTATTGAGCCCTTACGTGCCAAGGACTGATACAATTACTCTGTTCATATACATTATCCCCAATTTACAGAAGAGGGAATCAAGATTTATAAAGGCTAAATCGTTTTAAGATTACAGTAAGTAACTGGCTAACCTGAGATTCAACCCTGCCTCTCTCACTTCAAGGCTGTCATCAGCCAAGCCAGTTTCTTCTATGTACCTTGTATATACAAGAAACAATGCTGAGAATGTTTTTTGTAGTATGATGGCTAATTTAACTGCCCAGGTATTTTTCAGGATTTCTACCAGCAGCCTCATTTGGTCTGAATTCATAGCAATTAGAGTAGCTTTCAGGAATTCTATAAAAGGTAATTGGAAGGAAGAGCTACTTAATAAGTGTATGTGTCCATTAATATCCATAAATATTTCTTCAGAATGTTCGAAACAGTTATTTCTGTTTTGAAAGTATTTTTTATTGTTGTGGAGGTCAATGTTTGGAGCAGAGAAACTGCATCCAAGTAAAATGTTCACAAAATTGACTTATATTTGGGAACTCTGTGGACAACCGAATCATCTTTTAAAAACAGGAATCTGACCCTTCCCTTTCTCAAAATTCTTCAGCTGAATTTAAATAAAGAAAAGTGGAGATTCAGCTCCCAGGCATGATCGTCCCACTCCTAATCTAGAAAGTGGATTTATTGATATCATAGGGCAAGAGTTGGCCACCTGCTGTCATAGTATAGCCCATGAGCTGAGAATTTTAAATGGCTTTTAAAAACCAAAAGAAGAATTCTATTTGATGGCATGTGAAAATATAGGAAAATTCAGGTTTCAGTATCCATAGAACATTTTGCTGGAACCTGTCCACACTCACATGTCTACGGTTATCTACATCTCCTTCTGTGCTTCAAGGACAGAATCAATTTTTGCAACACAGATTACATGGCCTACAAAGCTTAAAATATTTACTCTCTGGCCCTAGTTTGCAGCCCCTTGTTCTGGAGGGAGTAGTTAAGAGTACAGACTTGAAGTCAGGTCGACCTGGTTCCAAACTGTAAAGTGTTGTGGCCATGTACTGAGAAGGGGTAAACACAGAAGAGTGGCTCAGTGATCGCTGCCTTCTGTCAAGGAGAAAAGAAAATAAGTAAAGGTTTCTACGTTTCTTTTACTTGACTGTGCAATAATAGAAATAAGAATATAATAAAAGTGAGATTTTACACAATATATAATTACAGTTATATAGGCAACTTTTCTCAATATTTTTCAATATGCCTCTTATACTAGTAAGGACACTTCAACTAAATAACAGCGACCCCTATTCAAACTAGCTTAAACTTTAAATGAAGGAAATGGTTCCTCTCTCAAAACTGAAAAATACAGCTCAAAGGCATGTTTCAAACTCCATTGCCTTGGATTCTCTGCTTTCTTCCCTGTAGTGGCAGCTCTGTCTTTGTGCTGGCCTATGAGAACATGGCTGCAGCAGTTCCAGACCTCCCATCTATGCAACCCAGGGAACCCCCAGTTGTTCAACCAGAGACCTGAGCTTTGCTCTGATTAGGTCAATCCCAGGTGCCATGCCAATTCCTCAACCACTCACAGTGCTGAGGGGGGTGAGGGTCAACTTCACCCCAGTTGCATTAAGGGAAGGCAGGTTGGAATACTGGGGGAAACCCTACATCGTCCACTGTAAAGTTGTTTAGAAGACATTACCTACAATATGTTTATAAAGGAGCAAGCACATAATGTGCTAGTTATTCCATGTTCTTTTAACTTTCATTTGAAACTAACACCACTTGTGGGGGGGTTTGTTGGTTTTGTTTTTTTTGTTTGTTTTTGAAGTAGCCCTATGGCCACAATATTTGGGTCCCCAGCACCTCCTTTCTATCCTTACAACATCAAGATTAACACTTTAGGAGTTCATGGATATGAACTGCCTCCATGGTGTTAGGTCTTGAGCCAGTTTGACCTTCTAGCACTGTAAGCGTGGTATTCTTTGAGGAATTCTTGTTACCAGTACAAATGGAATAGTAGACTTTTTTTATATGTTCTTCCTTATAAGAAAGTATGTGTGCTTCTCAGCTCAAAGTAACAGCTGTCATCTATAAAGTTGATTGATGTGTTTATGTATAAAGAAGCCTGCATAATATGATTTGGACTCCTCAAAATGTGTTGTAAGGAAGTTCAGAAATATAATGACCTCTTAATTGCCTATAATTGGATTTGCTTTCTAAGAAACCTAAAGCAAATAAAAACAAAAGGCAATGGCTCACAAGTCCTTGCAAAGTCTGCATGTCCTTGCAAAGATATTCTCAAGCTTTTATTGGAATAAAACTGAGCCATTAATGCCAGAAAATCCAGCAAGGAGGGTTTCATCTTATTCCAAGTATACACATGCTAAGGTTGGATAGTTGTTATAATTCCACACACTTCAGCACAGTGATTTTTAGGTTTTATAGTTGCCATTATATAATTAAAAATTCTTATCATGCTTAACACTTGTTTCCTGAAATGAACTTGAACTCCACACTGAAAAAAATGCCATGTCTCATTGAGACACACAAGATTTCTAATCCTTTACAGGATTACAACAGAAACTCAGAGAATGTCTAATCTATATGGCTAATAAATTTTGCTTTCACGTTATTGAAATTATCACCTCCCCTGCTTTCTTAAGTCCTAATACTGACTTTTCTACCATCATTATTCTTATTGCATGCAACTTAGAGCCAAGTAAAACTAGAAAGGAGGGCACTCGCTCTTCACATTAATGTCTCTGATTCTAGGAATGTCCTTCTTTAAATCACATCTGCTAATTAGCTTTCTTGAACCCCCTGCCTCCCTATCCCTGGGGAAGGGGAAGCTGAGACAGCTAGCTGCAAAGGACTTTTAATTAGACTAGTGCTTTCCAAGTGAGAAGTGCTTAGTCTCTGCCACTGTGAAATAGGGAACCAAAAGTAGCTGAGTGAGGAGGGAGGAAAGAGACACGGATGACTTTAGTGCACTTGCTAAATTCTAAGTTTAGCAAGACTTGGTTGTTTGGCTTCACGTATTGTGAATTCTCTGAGCGGCAGACACTGGGTCAGCTTTCCCAAGCCCAGCAGCCGTGATCGTCATTGTATCCTCTGTCTTGGATTATTGCCCTACAGCAAAATTGAAGCAGAATTTTTTCTCAGCCATCTTACATGGTCCCCAGCGTGATTTTTTGGGAGGTGCACATACTTTTTGGGTGATGCTGCATCTCCCCAGAGAGAGTACCACTCAGTGCTCCACCGCCCCTGCCAGTGGGCCAGGTGTGTCTCGTGACTAGAAGTGGATTTGCCACGTGTCCATTTTGCCACGTCCCTCTTCGTTCACCTCAGGAGGGAGGACTTTTCAGCTCTCCTGGAGAAGTCTCTGCTGTTGAACAGGAAAATATCGTGTCAGTAGTCAGTAGTTTACTGTTTATACAATCAGCAGCATCTTTAGACACAAAAGTCATCCTGAAGTTAAGCACATATAAGAAAAAAAAGTCAAACTACTCTGTTTGGAATAACATTTATTTTAAAATATTTCTTAAAACTAGTGCTGTATATTTATATGATGGAGAGTTTTTTCTTAGAAGACAACTGCTGCTTTTCTTCCCCTCAGGACTGTTACATGACATCTCTGCTACTTTGTGAGTGATCAGACATTGCAAATAGCCCCCTTGGGAATCAAGCTAAACCTCAAGAAGACTTACTGAGAAACTTTGGAGAGAGTATCATGGAGTTCAAGATTGAGGGGAAGGAAAAATACCAACATAGCTTGAATTTACTCAATAAAATTAAGAACATGAAAGAATTAGCTGAAATGATTGACGTGGTACTCATAGCAGAAGGGGAGAAATTTCCTTGCCACAGACTGGTTCTGGCTGCATTTAGTCCTTACTTCAAAGCAATGTTCACCTGTGGACTACTTGAGTGCACTCAAAGGGAAGTCATCCTCTACGACATCACAGCGGAAAGTGTGGCAGTCATATTAAATTACATGTACAGTGCAGCTCTGGAGATCAACAACACCAATGTGCAGACGGTGGCCATGGCTGCCTATTTTATGCAGATGGAAGAAGTCTTCAGTGTGTGTCAGAAATACATGATGGACCATATGGATGCCTCCAACTGTGTAGGGATCTATCATTTTGCAAAGCAGATTGGAGCTGAAGATTTATGCGATCAATCAAAGAAATATTTATATCAGCACTTTGCTGAGGTGAGTTTACATGAAGAAATACTGGAAATTGAAGCGTACCAATTTATGATGCTTATTAAATCAGATGACCTTAACATATCCAGAGAGGAGAGCATTTTGGACTTAGTCCTGAGGTGGGTCAATCACAACCAAGCATTGCGCACAGAGCATCTTGCTGAGCTTCTGAAGCAAGTCAGATTGGAACTTGTGAATCCTTCTTTTTTAAGACAAGCCCTAAAAAGAAACACAATGCTTCTATGTAATGCAGATTGCATTGACATAATTCAGAACGCTTTCAAAGCCATCAAGACACCCCAGCAGCACCGCTTGAATCTCCGTTATGGCATGGAGACTACTAGTCTCCTGCTTTGTATTGGCAACAATTCCTCAGGAATCAGGTCAAGACGCAGAAACTATGGGGAAGCCAGTTTCTGTTATGATCCCGTATTGCGGAAGACCTATTTCATCTCCTCTCCCAAATATGGAGAGGGCTTAGGAACTGTGTGCACTGGTGTTGTCATGGAAAACAACACGATCATTGTGGCTGGAGAGGCAAGTGCCTCTAAACTCTCTAGACAAAAGAATAGAAATGTTGAAGTCTACAGGTTTGTATATGTATTTGTGAATTTGTTTTCATTATCTTGCTTTGACATTAGCAACAGTAGAAGAAAGTGCAGCTGAGAGAATGGTCAAACCTTAAATTACATATAATCAAAGTTACCCTGTAAGTCTCCCGTACAGAAAGATACACAGAACATGGCCTTGTTAGACACGTGTATAAAACCCTAAGTGTATAGTAAACATGGCATATGTGAGAAATTTATAATAAATTTGTAAGTATAGAATAGTATACATGGAAAATTGATAAGTAATTTCAAAATTATTTTTCTCTCTTTAGTTTTTAAGAAGATAGAGTTGAATTTACATAGTTAAGTGTATGTGTGTTTTGATTCCACTGTACATTTTCATTCTTAGTTTTCATTATTTACTCATATGATAAAGCTTAATAATACATTGCTTTGCTTTTGAAGAGCTTGATATAACTTTTAACAAGAAGAAAATTTGAAGAACATATTTTGAGCTGACTTTTTTAGTTCTTAATTTAGAGTAACAAGTAGTTTTTCCTTGACAAAAATTTGCTAATTATCCATTTTCATTCTGTATCCTTAATTTGCAGCAATTTCCTAAACCTCCAATAGTGTAAAGTATAGCCTTAGAAAGCTTCAATCCTGGAATTTTGTTACGAGGAACAAGAACTAACTTATCACTGATCCTTGTATGTGGGGACACAGACATTTGCTCAGTTTATTCAGCAAGTATTCCGTGAGTCTTCATGCATAACTCTAACTGGGTAAATAAGAAATATGCACATAGAATAAATGGTAAAGCTCTCCCTCAGTATCCTTCAGTTCCCTCCTAAAGGGTTTGTTCAGACTTTTCCAGTCAGAAAGTAATTCTTTTCAGTCAGAAATTCTTTTCAATCACAAAGTCATTCTCCACAGTGAAGATAAAGCAAAGGATGTGGAGGCCTACTGTTTTTCTGTCATCTCTTAGCATTCCATTACCCCTTTCCAGCTATACACTTGCCCTCTTTTCACACTCATGCTTTGAAGACGAGTCTCATGTCCCCAGTAGTGACAGGGGAGGGGATGCAGCCCCGACAGGCGCCCTGTGCCCCTGGTGGCCAGCACGTCATTGCTGAGCTCCTACAGGGTCCTCAGGGTCAGCTAGAGGACGTCCTGCAGGAGGACCCTGCCCTGGCCTCCCTGGCATGGTTCTCAGAGGCCCACACTGCTTGTTTTGTACTTGTCCTTGGTTAGCTGCCTGTCTTTCCATCTTAAACCCTCTGTACAGGAACCTCAGGCTCTTTAATTAACTCTGTTCCTCCTCATCAAGATAGTCTACAATTCTACCATCAGAATTTATTTTTAACAAATGTCCAACCTTGTCAGAATGCCCCTTTATTTCCATCCACAACCATCTCTCTTCCTGACCTTTTTCTGAAAGCCGGCTTCCCTTTCTATTGCCTGGCAGCACTGCTCCCACCTCACCTCTCTTCACCTCTGGCAGGTTCCCATCACCACCCTGCTGATGCACATGGGTTAGAATTAGGGTGCAAGTATCACTTGCCCTTCACATGATCTGCAGTAATGAAAAAATTCAACAAGACAAACTATAGAACTATCCTGTAAGTCTCCAGCACAGTATGGTATACAGAACATGACTTTGGGCTAAAACAAGACTTCCAACAGACGTCTAGACAATTAGGGCCTTGTAGCGCTACTGAACATTACTTTAGTGCCAGTTTTGTGGAAAGGTATGAGACATTATCAGGTGGTATATTCCTACTATATTATTTCAGTTTCTTGTCCCTTTTATCTTTGCTGGGTTGCTCTTCATAAATTCCCATGCAGATATATGTCTTCTTCATTTAAAAGAAGCAATAAACAAGTACTCTAGTAGGTCATTTCTTTTCAAAAAATATACGCCTTTCTATCTCCTTTACTTATCTCCCGCACTTTGGTTACAAACAGCTGAGAATGGAAGTGTTATCTTTAAACTGTCAACCCCTGTAAACACAGAATGCTTTTGTCATTGTTTTCTTTTTTATGTCATATCCATTTTTCCTAACAATAAGTTGTATGGTTTTATCTGGGCATTTTTCTGCATTTTTAAATTCAAAATGTTAAAATAAAAATCAAATTAACAAGACACCCACAAGCCTGTGCTTCCTAACCTGTACGGGATATATTTTGTTCTTGCCAATTTTCTTATGTCTCAGAAAACCAAAATCCTTTTTTTTAGTTCTATTTTTATAAACATTTATTGGCTTTACTTCAGTGGCTCCCCACATATGCATACCTAATTCTCCTTTCTTTTTTAAAAAAGCAGTCCAATTAAAAATAGTGGTGAAAATAGCACTGTTGATTCTAGGAACTTTGATTTCCCACCTAGAATTACATAGAAGACAGTTGTAAAATTTGATAAATAGCTGCATTCAGTTGTGACAAGCCAGACTTGCCCTCTAGGAAAGGAAAATCCAGCTCCCCACCGAGCCTGAGGTAAAGAGTAATCTCTGGAAAAGTGTGTAGGAGTTGGCCGAGACGGCTGGGGAAAACCCCTATGATATAATTAACTGTGAAATGTTTGGTGCAAAATAGGTCGTCTATACTTAAAAGTTGTACTCTGTGTAGAAGACACACATCATCAGTTCTCCATTTGTTTCCAAGCAAAACAACCTTTCTTTCTTATTTTCCACATTCTCCTGGCTTTCGTTTCTTGTTTTGCTTTTAGGTTTGTCTTTCCAGTATTCTTCCTGTATTTTCTGGGACAAATTTCATTGCACAGATTTTATCCCACTGTCCTCTTTGGTGCCTTTGTCCTTAGACCATGTTCCCGATCATGATTAGAGAAATAGACTTAAGCATTATCAAAAGACAAGACAAAGGATAGTCAAGCTCACATGCTCAATAATGCACACAAACACAGTCGGTCTGCTGTACTCTAAAAGATATTATCACATACATCCTAGTGTCCCTACCTCCCAATCCTCTTTTCAGACTGACATAATTATTCATGGAAGCAATTATTCATGGAAACTACTAGATTAAAATAGCTGCTAAAGCTTACAGACACCTGTAGGTGGGTTTTTAATACCTCCAGGTACTCTTGACTCTCTCCTGAGCCACTTAGAAATGTAAGAACAATTGCTAAAATTCTACATATCCCACATCATCCCCTTAGAAATCTCTGCTCTAAAACCGATTTCTTTAGTATTAAAGTGAGACTTCTAGTCCACAGAATAAGACGTTACTATATTTTTCTTTATTGTTACTTAAGATAAAACTACAAATGATTTTCTGAAAGACTTTCCTAATCTTGATTTTCTTTTTCAGAATTAGGAAATGAAGTCTAGTCCTGGATAATCTATACTTTATTGTTATATTCTCCCTAAAATTCTGCAGATGTGGTTGTTTCTATGCATGCTATATTTAGTTCATTAGTCCCTGTAAAAATATAAAACAACCTACAAGCTCTAACCCTATCTTTTGTTAATGTTTGTCCTCTCCAATGAGAAGAATCAAATCATGTTGTTTTTAGTTGGAAGAGAAACTTAAATGTGTTTTCATGTTGACTCTAATCCTGAGTTCTCTCTGTTAATTTACAGGTATCATAATAGAGGAAACCAGTTCTGGGAAAAATTATGCACAACTGAATTCCGGGAGCTCTACGCTCTGGGCAGCGTCCATAACGACCTCTATGTGATAGGAGGGCAGATGAAAGTTAAAAGCCAGTATCTTATTACAAACTGTGTTGATAAGTATTCCGTAGAGCGGGACAGTTGGAAAAGGGTGTCTCCCCTTCCACTACCGTTGGCGTGCCACGCTGTAGTAACAGTGAATAATAAACTTTATGTGATTGGAGGCTGGACCCCTCAGGTTAAGGAGCTTCCTGTATACCTGATTGCCATGGCTGTACAGAGTCTGACTGCTGTGTTGAAAATGTTGTGGTTGATGAATACTAAAAGAGTTCGACTGATGTTTGGGCAAAATGCTTCCTATTTTATTAAATATTAAACTTATGATTTAGAAGTGTTAAAGTGGTTTGAGAGAATGAATTCTAAAGTGTGTTGTTCATGGACATGACTTCATTCAGTATCTGTGCCATGTTCTGCATAATCCTTCCCATTCCTACTAATTATGAAACATGGTTATGCTGAAGGATTATCTGTAGAGAGCATCTGAGTAGGAGGCAGAGAAGCCAGGTCCTCATCCCAGTTCTGTATGACCTGAGGCAAGTGACTCTTAGGTCTTTCCCAGATTTAAAATTCTCATGCTAAGTGGGAAACCAGAGTACTCATCCTGACACAGCATAACATTTCCACAAAGGTATCCAGTCATCTTAAACACACCACACCTTTGCTGGGCATCAGCAGATGGAGAAGTCAAAATGCTGTATGTGTGGGAGCCCTGAATAGTGATGGCACCCCAAACAGAAGAGTCAGCAGAGTGGAGCCACAGGGGCCTTTCTCTTCTCTGTGGGTGTCGCCCATGCCTTGTGATCACCCAGCTGCCTTCTGCACTGCCCATCCAGTCTTTCTAATGAAAAGTAGCCTTACTAGCTCAATGTCCATCCCATGACATAAAGTCAATTTATTTTGGCCTATTTGATTTCTTGTTTCTCCAGATTGACTCCCTGTAAAACTGATGTTTTTTGCTTTCATTTCATAAGTTTAGGTTTTAGCCTTGATAGTATATTGCACCTTCATTTAAAACATATTTCATGTTTAATACATTTTAAAATTTGTGCTATATATCTAAAAATAGAGCAGATTTAATCACAGCTAGTAGCTGATGCCTGAAAAATTACATGTAATTAAGCTTTATCAGAACTATCCACTGCATAGTTAATTGGGCAGGAATAAGCTCTGAAGACAACTTAGAAGCTTTGCTTTTCTTTCACTAAGATAGAATTTAAATACTTAAATTGGAACAAAAATTAAAACAAAAAAGTCAATATTTGTTCATTTCAGTCCTTAAGTAGGGGATTTAAATATTTATTGAATAAAAATGCTTTTACTAGTCTGTAGCTAAGACACTATGTTAAATTGCAAAGTGACATGGAGTTGTAACTGTCCCCTATGAACATAACTCTTAGTGCATCCAGACTTAATCTCATAAAATCCTCATAAATGTGGCAATAATTTCTGTGTTGAATAACTGTATCCAAAGGAAAAAAACAAGACACTTAAGCATCCTTAGATCGAAATCATACAAGTTCCTGATGCGTTATAGACAAAAAGCAATACTTAAACTGAAGTTTATGAGAAGCCACATCTGTGTAAGAATAAGCAGTTGTTCAATTTCTATCTCTAGTCATTAAAATATAAATATAAATACATAGAATTAACTGCAAATAATTCCTGTTAATCCCTGAATCTTGAAAATTGAATTCAGATCATTCCTGTATAGGTTATAATTATAGTGTAAAAATATTCTATGAAAACATTAAAATGCTTTTGCAATTTTCTTTCCCCTGGATTAGGAAATAGTATGAAGAAAAATAAAATATTATTCACATTAGTTTCTCACAAATATACAGTTGTGCACTAAGTTTGATAAAATTATACTTTAAACACTAATTTTTTTAAAACTTGGTTTCATTTTTAGGCTTTGCAGTTGGTTCAAATGCATTTTTTTGTCAATGCTGTAATTGTCTCACTGCCAAGATTTTGCTATGATCCAACACTTTAGCCTCATTATTACAAAATATAAATTCTTGTGATTTTGACAGTGTGCTTATAACCCCGAGTCATGGGATTGAGTGTGTTTATGAGTGAGTTACTACAGTTAACCCTACTTATCTCCTTGGCTTTCTGCTTTGATTAATTGCATCTAGGTACTCATGAAGATCTCTACGTGGTGTGTTATTATATTGGCTGTCATATTTCATACAGATGGATCTTCCTGATGAAGAACCTGATCGATTAAGCAACAAACTGTTGCGATACGACCCCAGCCAAGACCAGTGGACAGAGCAGGCACCTATGACATACTCGAAGTACCGATTCAGTGTTGCTGTAGTCAACAGTGAGATTTATGTTTTGGGTAAGAACAAACAGATCGCTAAAAGATTCTAACTCCTTTTATTTTTTTTTCAGCAGTTTGCCTCAGTAAAAATGAAATACTTCCCCTTCCTCTTGCACCCCACTTCAAATGTATATATAACTAGCCAAAAACTGTCTTTGTTTCTTGTTTTCTAGAGCACAGTATGATAAGATCAAATGAAAGTCCATTGATTTATTAAAATCGAGGTTATTTTTATGGAATTTTCAAGTCTGTTGGAATGCAAGAACAGTAGTGATACATCCCTATATATATCCTACCAAGTAAAATATTATGAAGTGGGAATAAGCCGTTGGCCAGCTTTAGTCAATGGGCTTTTGCAACCAACTGTGATTTTCTGTGCTAATAGAAGAAAAGTCATCATAGGTAAGACAGTGCCACCCATGCCAATCCTCTTCGTTTTGCCTTATCCACCAAGTTTGTAGAGGTGTTGTCTGATAATTTTAATCCAAATACACTTTTCTTTGGCTCTTAAATATGTATGGTCTTGCACTAGCCAGTAGGATTGGTGAAAAACTGGCTCATTCCTACAACAGTGAGTAAAAACAACTCTGAATATGCCTTATGTTTTCCTTATCCTTCATTCCTTGTTTTTCCTCGTTTATTAAGTCCTTTGCTCTTCTAAGCGCATTCCATTTTTCCTGACACCATTCTCTATGACCTTCCCACCCACTGCTCATGATTATGGGAAAGAATGAGACTGAGATAAAGAAGGAGCCTAACTGGTCGAGTGAAATGATAACAATGTCATTTCTTTATTTCCTCCCATCTGTACTGGTGGCTGACAGGCTAGAACATGGGGGAGATGACAGGTAGCAAAGAGATGGCAAAGAAAAAATGTGAAATATGGAATGAAAGCCAACCAAGCATTTGAATAGAGTTTTTTCAAAAAGGGAAGTCATTATCTCTTATCTGCTTGCACAGCATGAAGCAAATAATTAATGCACTCAAATGTGAATAGTTTCATGATTTTAAGAACAAGAACTTCATGCAACGTAATTTGTGATTACCTCAGTTATAATTAATTTTTTCCTCTGGCTATGTGTTTAATACTTTGTTACAACAATGTGCGTGTCATAGGTCCAAAAACAGACAATGTCTAAACTAGGACAGAGCGCCTAAGATAGATGTATTACTCAAGGAATGAAGGGCTGATCTACCAATTACATTAAAGTTGGAGGTAGTCAAAAGTGGGATAGTAAAGTACTAACTCTCTTATGTATAGCTGACTAGATATTTGGACTGCTCCTCCCCTTGAAAATACAAAAACAAAAAGTCGAGTAAGACATATTTTTAAACCTTCTAGAAAATCTGTTATGGCACTAAGAATTTAGCAAGCCAAAAGCTAAGAGAAAGCAGAAGACTTCTTGCTATGGGCACGTGAAGTGGTCAATAGCCTCTCCCAAAAGCAACTGTAGAACTAGATGTCTATCCCATATCAATAATTGATAGAATAACGAGACAGAAAATGTGCAAAGTTACAGAAGACTTGCACAGGGAGGTAAAGCTGGGGATACGGAAAGATATTTCTTGGCACTAAGTAAGGTTGGTTTTAAAAATGAAAAGAATTAGGTATGCTGACACCTAGTCCTGCTTGTAATCACACATGCATGTTGGAGACCCCTGAGGCGTGAAGTGCTGAGACAAGGAAAACACCAGGGGCATGGCTGGAAGACTGCTCAGCACAGGTGGGATGACTGGCCCGTGTATAGATCAGGGAGTTCTTTCTGTGTCCGTGAAACATGTGAGAAAAGAACAATGTGCTAACACAGAACCTTGGTGGTGAACGTGTGCCAGAAATATGCCCAATACTTAGAAATAAGAAAGTGAGCCACTGTTCTGTGGTTCTACCCATCCTGTATCTTGCTTTGTAACTGGGTTGTTTCTGCTAATAAAAGCTGTGGTGTGCTGAGGAGAGTAGAGTGGATCTAAGAATCTCTCTCCCCAGCCTTCCTTTTTAAAGACAAGACTCAATGCCCTGGTCCTTTTACTTCAGCTATCTGTGACACATGAGAGAAAAAGAAAAGAAAATCAGTCAGGTTCCTCCTTGCAGGTCCTCTAGATTACACACTGCCTCACCAGCCTCGCCTAACTGCCAAAAACTCTGCTGGTTTCTCTTTCCCTCACTAGAGTGCAATGCGAAATCCAATTCCTAGCCTTGGTCCAGAATTAGTAAATACCCCAAGGGCAGAAAACAACCCCAGGGAAGACTCTTCCTCACTGTAATTTTAGCTTATCTAGTCTTTGTCCTTTCCAAGCCTCTTCAACATCTTGGAAAACAGAATCTTTTAACTTGTCTATTTTTGCTCTAGTCACATTAGAATCATTTGCCTGCCCTGATGACTTATGAAGAATTGGAATATGATTGCCAGACACACTTCATTTTTCTTAGATATAGTTCTTTTTGTGTGATGTTTTTGTTCCACAATTTTATATAGGAAAAAGGAGGGAAGAACTAAATCTCAGGTTAAGTCCCTTTCTCAAGCACTTGTTATTGAGTGGCCATCCTAAGTGGTTAGCAGACATCTTCGGAGAAACACCTAGTGATGGCTTTACTTTGAACCAGGTGAGGGTGGTGGCGGCAAGCCTGTGGAGATGAATAATGGCCCTGTATTCTCTGCCTTCAAGGTTTCACTTCCTTACCTCTTGTCAGAGGCCATCATGTAGACCCTATCCACTATATAAGCATATAAAGTCTGTGATTTTTTCCCCATAATTGCAAGAGTGGGATAAAGCACAAATTCTCCAGGCAGGGACATCTCATTTGTAAGTCTTGAATTAATCAGCTCCTAAGGCATTGTCACAAAATACAAACTGAGAAATATCACTGAAAAAAAATTGAAGTTAAACTTCTTTAAAAAAAAATTCTTGCACTTTAAAGACTGAAGCAAGCGAGTGCTCTGCCACTTTCTATCACCTGTGTTTTAGTCTCTACACTGTCGATGTCTAAGCCAGATGGTTAGTCAGGGAAAGGAAAGAAGCTGAAAATCAGATTAGCTCATTTTGCCCTCTGATTTAACGGCTTTTATAAATGGCTTGTCAGGGCAATCGCTAAACTATGGTTTGGATGAAATGTGGATTTCTATTATCTAGGCTTTCTTTGTTCCCTCTCTGCATGACAATTTTAGAATTGACCTTGTAGTTAGACCCATTGAATTTGGATTAAAATGTAATGTAATTGTTGTGACTTTGGTCGTTTTAACTTATGTTCATTATTACTTGAACTTGACATGGTAATATTTGCAGTATGTATCAAAATTAATAATACATACCCTTGACCAGATACTGATGTGCAAATATTTCCTCCTGTTGTGTACATTAGCTTTTTCGCTCTTGATTAGTTTTCTTGCTGTGCAGATGCTTTTAGCTTGGTGTCGTCTCCCTTGTTTATTTTGAATTTGGTGCCTGTGCTTTTGGCGTCATGTTCATAAAGTCACTGCCCAGATTAGTGTTTGGCTCCTACATGTTCCTCTAGGAGTTTTACAGTTTAGGTCTTTCGTCCTCTTTAAGGTGATTTTTGTGTATGATATAATCAAGGGCCCAAAGTTGTATTTTCACATGTGGGTGAGTATTGGCAAGGGAGAAATGATAACTCTTGTGTGCTGTTCACGGGAATGCACAAACAATATGGAGAGCCCTCAAAAGAATACCACAGGATCCAGCAATCCCATTTCTGGGTATTTATCTAAAAATTGAAATGAGATCTCGGAGGTAATTAAATAACACTCCCATGCTCATTGAAGCCAAGGTGTAAAAACAGCCTAACTTCCCACGGACAGATGAATATAAAAAGTAATATGGCATTTACCATATAATGGAATCATATTCATCTTTTAAAAGAAGGAAATTTTGTAACATGCAACAACATGAATGAATCTTGACAATATTATACTAAGTGAATAGACCAGTCATAGAATGACAAATACTGCCTGATCTGACTTACTGAGTTATCTAAGATAGTCAGATGCATAGACTCAAGGAGCAGAATGGTGGTTGTCAGGGGCTGAGGATAGGTAGAAATGGGGAGTTACTAATCAACTGGCAAAGCAAGATGAGTAAGTTCTAGAGTGCCATTTTACCTGTTGTCAGGACGGCTGTATTGTACATTAAAAAAAATTGTCAAGAAGCCAGATCTTGTGTTAAGTGTTCTTACCACAGTAGAATAAAAATTTTAAGAATTAAAATTACAAAACATGCCATTGAGCTAAGGAAGATGCAAAGGGAAGGCTGGGAGAACACAAGGAAATAGGTATGGCGGTTCAACATTATTACCCTGGAGGAAGTGGAGGAAGCGGGTAGCAGTGACTCTGGGCGAGTGGGGAAGAGGAAACATCCAGGAGATTATGAATGAAGACTGTTATTAGGAACTAGATGAGTGACTATGAGCAAAGCTCAGCCCCTCAGAATTGAAAGAGAGAAATATTTCAGGGAGAGTGAGCTTTGAAAATAAGTTTAATAAATGCAACTCAGTAATGTTGGTCTCAGATCCACTAATAATTTCTGTTGGAGAGATATTGTATTTTCTTATCACACTGTCACTTGTTTCAACAAATACTTGTTGAGCATGTGGTATGTCAGACCCTGGGCTGGGTGCTGAAAAGAGGGACATAACTCTATGCCCCGGGGGACACATGGGCTCGTGGTCTAGGACTGGACAGAGACAGATCGGCTGTGCACAGTCAGGTGCGCTCCTGTGGGGATCTAGTGGCGGGTCAACTAACCCATGTGCAGACGGGAATTAGTCAAATGAAAAATAAAGGAGGAAGAGACTTGGCAACGTGAACAATATAAGTCATATGAGAAAGATTAGGTTGAGTTACTTTCATGCTTTCAGTATCTTTGTGAGTAAACATTAATTCAGTCTGTTTCTCAATTAAATGTCAAGTGTGGGAAACCACTAAAGGATGAGACCTCCACTCGGCATCTGAACTTTAAGAAGCTGAATTGATTGTTTAGGGGACAGGGACAATAATTAGTCAGAG